GTTGCCTCGTAACTAATCGGTAATAAGTACTTAGGTATTGGGGATCCGTGGGCGCTTATCTTATTAATTGCTAAACACCGAACCTTTGATTTTTGCCATTTATAAGTTACTGTGTATTTGATAGGCTAAAACTAAGTTGTTCACATAGTACTGGTCTCTCGATGATTAAGTTTTGGACCGATTTTTCTTTCCTCAGGGCCTGAGGTCCTAAGTCTTTAATGATCGATGAAAACGTGTCTTTGGAGTATTTATATAGTTATTTACATCGTTTCAGTTAGAAGATTAAAGATTTTCAGACACCTTTCTCTTGCAGTAAGAGAAGAAGAAACGAGAAGCTGCAAATCACTATGTAGTGATCATCAGGTATGCTACTGAATTGATTGGATTAGTGGAAATACATGAGAGGACTTGAATGTTTGATCATTTCAAGAAATTTTGCCAGTACTTCAAATGAATGCTTTCTTGGAGGTTCCCCGAGACCCTTCATTGATTCATTTTTATCAAAGAACGAATTTTCGATTGATGAAGCGATTCCGCTTTTTCTCCTCGTCTTTACCGAAACCATATTCAATCAATATTCAGCATTTCAGTAAGAAGAGCAGGTGATGGAACCTTAACCTCCATCGAACATATAAGCGGAGAGCAACCATCTCTGTAAATGACAGCTGCTAGCTAACGGAGAAAAAATTTTGGCAAATAGAAGCAAGGAATAGAAATGGGAAAGAATAAATGCTAATCAGTAATATTGAGGTTAAAGGAAGGTTGCTTTTGAAATATTGTTATTGCTCTTTCCTTGCTGATAATGCCACCGACTTCCACAGGATTGATTGTCCAGGAAAAACAAGGTACTCTCACTGGACAATCACAACTATCAACCATCAGCATCCTGCATAAAAGGGCAGCACTGAGTGAGTGTGCTTCATTCGAGGAGATGGCCCGCTGAGGAAGACCTGACTCGACACGAAGGCAGAGAGGCTCCATCGAGGCGAAGAACAACCGTGGACTATCGACTCGGATCGTCGGCTTTGATGAAGAAAACGTTAGCCGATTAAAAATTCTTTATCAAACTCATGTAAGATTATCAAAGAAGGAAGTAAGGAACTCCAATTTTAGTGAAGGTGGGACCATCTTAGTACCTCGATGAGGTTGTTGTCTACTCCTCATGTCCCATAGTGATTACTATAGAAACGCATACTGTAGTATTTTTATTTTGCAGGTGGGATAGTATAAAATTCGTGCAAAAGCTATCTAGTCTAGTGTATTCTGTGGAAGCTCCGTCTGATTCTCAGTTTATGACTAAGGTAGAAATTTTTCACGACTGTTTGAAGTGCTAGACGATGTGGTGCGTGCTTTTCAGCTCGTTTTGATAATTAGGAACAGCTCTTTTTTTAGGAAAATTACCTCTGGTAACAACTTTCCAAAAATACCCATAATTTCTCATGTAACTGTGGACGCTTGAAAAACAGTGTTAACATTTATTAAATGCATTTTTCTCCCTTTATTCCCTAGCGGAATAATACGTGAAAAGAAATGTAACACGGAGAACCGCTGTAGAAAGAAGATTGTTCCTCGTAGGACCAGTGGCGTATATCTCAAATTTAATTCTTACACCAATTCTCCACTACATCGCAATTCTTCCATGGTTTCTTCCGTCCATTGTAACAGAATGTGTTCAGGCAACTTATGAAACACAACTTATACACTACCATCCACTATGTATCAATTTATTTTCTTATGAAACCTTCTTCTTGGAACTTCTTCATGGTATCGATTACTGTTTATATCTTCGTATGTAGTTGAGTATATCGTTGTCAAGATTTCCAGCTGAGCATTAACGGAAGGCGTAGCTGCTGACCATCATGATCACCCCGTTGTCAAGGTCTCTACGGTGAATCCAATCTCCTGGTCGAAGATCGTGCGGAAGTGGCTCGTCGTAAAGCCTACTTGAGTCTACTGCGAATCGTTCCAAACATCTCATATATCAGCTGTCTCTAACGTTATCCTGAAATAGCTAATGGCTAAGATGTGGTGGATTTGTTATTAATGTACACCTGTTTCTTTGTGGATGGAAGAAGAATATGAGCACAAGTTGCAGTCAAATGATGAAGAAATGAGTTATCCCATATTTCCTTCATATGGACTCGACTTTAACAAACATTTCAGAATAAATTCCAGCAGTCTGTCAGTTATTCATCAGGAAAATCCAAGCACAGCAGTATTTTCTTGTCGTGGCGAATTGTGTTATTGGTGTTATTCTGTGGTGTTATTCTCGCTAGCAAAGCGACATGCCTGATTTTTAACACTTGGACACTTTCAAAAAAAGAACGGTCATACAGGGATCCTTCTCACTTGAGAAATCAAGAAACGACTCTAGAGTCTATATGTGTCAACCACTATGGTGGATTGGACAGATTAGAAGAGACGACGTTCTTCTTTCTGAGAAATGATTGGATTTAAGGATGGGTTTCCTTTCCTGGTGTATCAGGTTCACTTATAAATTCGTTATGTGTTTATATTTTCATGGATGTATATTGGATTAGACAGTTAAAAACAGGCTGTCATTGCTTGACTTCGAACTTTACGAAACGCAGTTTGGAGAGATCTCCATTAAATGGGCTTCATATCAATTATGGCGGAGAATGGCACGCTATCTCTGATAGTTATAATTTTCCAATCATAGCACTAGTAAGGAGTGAGTTGTTTCTCTCCAAAAAAATATTGAAAACAAGAGTACTCACTGAAAAGTGTAACTCAGTTCATACGTACCAAATAAATAGAGCCTCCAGCTCGAAGGCTCTCCAATGCGCTCGAGCTCGAAGCCTCTCCAATGTGACAGAAATAAGTGGGGAAATTTTACAGGTGCTCGCTGATTAACGAGATTGCAGGTGGTGCAGATGGTAATAAAATAACGCGCGTCAACACATTTGAGTTACTAAGTCACCAAGCTGGTCAGGATCGATTACTTGAGAGAGTTTATATAACCGTCGATGTCATCGAATGAATGGCTACAACAGATTTCCGAGTATTATCAGAGCCAATTTGTACCTGTTGCTGATATAATCTCCTTAACAATGGTTCAGAATTAGAAAGACTTTAGAAAAGCATATTTAAGCACGCTGTAGTGCTATAAGTGCATGTCGACACCTGCCGCTAAGGAAATACCGAAGAACAATCAATTCGTTGTTAGGGTACGTGGTTCCTGGTAAAGAAAAACAGAGAAATGTACGTATACCTAATTCAAATAGGTCATCTACAGCATCTGATAGGAAACAGCAATACGAGTCATCACAAATGCCAACCGTACGTTGGGAAGTATCATATTCTAATCTAGCGTACCTTGTTCGTTGGTTTCGACGCTGTGTTACTAACTTGTCAAGGTTTTCTTTATACATCAAAATTCGGTACTAACCCTTGATGGTTAATTAACAACTATCCTAATAGGCAAATAGAGGGATCGTCCGGCGGTGTCGATATGTCGCTATTTGCTCGGAGCTCGAAATAGATCCATTTGGTGAGCTGTTGGAGCGCTTTCAGAGCTACACTCTCATGGAAATCTAAACTCACTACTCATAAAAAACGTTGGCAATTTGCAAATATGTCATATATCTAGATAAAAATCTCTGCTTCTGATCTATCGTGTGTATTGCAGTAGTCAGACGTGCCCCTAGGCTCTCCATCCCTCCGGGTTTGGTAAATTGGTACCAGGCGTGTTGGGAAGGATAGACACTGTCTCGATACAACGGCAGGCCATCACGAGTCTTGGTGTACATCTGGTGTGCATTCAATTACTTCTAAAGATACTTAATGATGTCGAATACTCTTTATCTTTTATTAACAGGTCTATCTGAATAAACTCTGTAACAGTCTAGACTTAGCAGTATCTATTTACATAGTCAGTAATGTACAAAGACGACTTCTCGAAGAGAACAGTTCAAACATCGACAACATTCATGAGTGAATTATTGGAGTCGTGTGCAATAAACTATTTGGGCTAAGGCGTTCAATACTGGGAGCGTTTGAAATATCTTTTAAAAACAAATGACATCGAAAGAAAAATAACCGAGCAGTAGAAAACATGCATGTAATAAAAAATAATAGCCTTATGAGATAGATAAAAGAATTTATAGCAGGCAACTGTGTGCCGTCTGAGTTCAGAAAGTACCGATTTATCGTTGCATACGATGAGTTACGAAGTGGCACTAAGTCATTAACGAGAAGAAACGGGATAACAGAGGCCAAATGAACTAAATCGCAGGAAAATTAGGATAACCGCTGATTCTACGACTTGCTAAGATTGCAGCCCGCGTTAATCCACTCCTAATCCAACGAAACTTCGTTTTTGAAGTCAGGTAACGTGGTACAAGTTATCGTCAAAAAATTTGTCTAACGTCAGCGCTCTGCATCTTTGTTGCTCAAAAATCCAAAAACTTAACATTTATGGGTACCACTAACTCAGACAACACAACTACAGTACTACCTCACAGGGCCCCTCTGCGGCACTAACGATTCGCGCCGAGATCCGGTGCTTCTGAGAGAGGGTACGTTGTGCACTGTGTAGTTGCAACAGAGGAAAACATCGTTTTCTAAGATAAAGGGAAAAACAAAAGGTACATGAGACAATAAAAAGGATATTTACCCGATGCGATTCATTTCAATGGCATTCATCAACCGCTTTGCCTAGTTGCGGCCTAGTGTTGTGATACATTTTGTTAATTTTTAAAATGAGCAATAGGCGGTAAACGCTAAGGCCAGCTTATTTTTTCATTAAATGAGACTGATTACGGTAATCTGGCTGTGCTACGCGTTAGTAAATCACCCGCATCATCATTGCCGATTGGAAACAAGTTAAAGAACACCAGAAATGTAAAGTGTTTGCTACAGTTATAGCTCCACTGGCTTGTTCCGCGTTACGAGGCAATCTTATGGAGAAAACTGGCGGTGACCGTGATCGCTTAAATGATAGAGGAAAGGAAAAAAATCATGGTAATGCATTTCATCGCTCAATTATCAGGCACGTAGAATAGTGGCTGAGGTGCCATCGAGGTTGAAATTCGTAGCCAATGGACAGAGTTTTGCGCATTGCCAAAACGTACGCTGTTCGGTGCTGATGAACAAAAGTCTAACATCTCAATGGAGACGTCACAAGTGCTTCCCAGTAAGCGCCAACACGTCTGCAAAGTAAAGAATACTGACTGATCTACTAATAAGAAGGAAAAACTGCCAAAGCAGCACCAAAAATAGAACAACTATGTTCATCATTACCTCAAAATGGCTCCATTATTCCGCCGAAAGTTTATTTTCTAAGAATTTTTCCGGCGCCATTCTATTTTTGAAGAAATGGTTTGTCAGAATTCATCTAACAAAATCGGAAAACGTCTCGAAAAAATTACTGGTTGAGCGTCGACTAACCTCGTTCAGCGGCAGATTTCTTTCAAAGTGAGACATCACTTCAGCAGGAGAGTCCAAAGTGAACCAAGAACATCCTGAATCGCCGGCTAGTTTTCCCTCATAGACTTCACGAGCACTCAAAACCATCAGAAGTGCCAAACCGCGAATCTGAGATTCGTTCACTGGAGATGACGAACATGACACTTTCTGCAAGTTCAGAATTGCTAAAATACTCGTTGCACAGAAAGAACGCTTTGATAAGCCTGATAAGCCACCCATGCAAAATAGAAATCTTTTCCAATCTAATATATATCTGGGAGAAATGCTGTGCTACAACAAACTCAGTGACCTACCTATAACTACTTTGTCGTCAAAAACACTAAAAAAAGCTATCTCCAGGAACCGGATAAATTCTAAAGCAGTTTCAATGCTCAGGTGTGGACGTAGAACGAATAGAATTTACCGAAATCCGCTCGGGTTAGTTTAGCTCGAGTTATTACTTTGATCAACAGGTTTACGGGTGATACAGGTAGATGGGACTGTTTAAAACGGAGTAAATAAACTTGTAATTAGAGTTTACGACAAAAAAAGAAGCATTGGTTATATTGGAAAAGCAAGCACAATCTGAGACAGTGAAAGATAAGATAAGCTGATAGATAACATAAAAAGCAATTAGACAATCCTGAATTTTCATAGATACGAATACGAAGTGGCAATGAATGGACAAATAAATGAAACGATGATAAGCTACCATAGTTTAGAAGCTTAATTATCCTTACAAAGATATGTGACGGGACGTTCCACTTAACACTTTGAGAACAACTTTGGTTAGAAAAAAAAAAGAGAGCACTTAGAAAGATTTCTACTAGCAAAATGGATAGAAAACGCTGGCCTATATTTTTCAGCTCCAGAGTTTTTTCTCTTGTGCTAACGTCAAAACATAAGAATTGGCTTTGGATCAGTTGGATATCGTACTCGAGAAGATGATCTGACGACGTCCTAAGAAAAAGACGCTTCCATGTTATTGATTCTTTTTTGGACACCCCACATCATTTTGTTGGACTGGATAAAAACCGATAGCAGACCATGGTAAAGTGATATATCGAATATAAAACTAAGCAGATGCAAACTCTACAACAGCACTATAGACGGGATACGTGACGTCAGCTTAGTCTTTAGTAAATAACGTCTTCATTTGTATGCACTTGAACGAACACAACTGAATACGAGACACTTCACGATCAATGATTAGAGGTAATTGGTGTGAGCTGCTTCCATTTTCGGTGTGCTCTTATCGGTAAGTAATTGAGTACTTGCAACCCACCATCAGTAATAGCTATAAATAGGAGATTAAAGCTTAAAGCTAAGTGCGTAACCGAGAACAGTAATTTCCCAAATGCATTTGGTGAGAGCAGCCAACGACCAAGCCTTCACCGTTCGCCCACCCTCAAAGTGCATTGAGTTCAGGCGGAGCTAATACGCTACTGCACGCTTCAAAAGTCACCAAATATTAAGTAATGCTGTAACATTTACATTTATTTCGAAAAAATAATTAGGGCTAAAAATGATTACAGGAACCATTTAAAAAAGAAAGAAAAATGGAAAGACATCAAAGGGATCTACTAGCGAAGAAAACTGAATTTTCTTGACAAAATTTCAATAAATGATCGTGAGCGAGCCTATGCAGAACTGAGAATTATGAACGGAAAAAAGCACCTACCGTATCTAATAACGTTCGCATGTCTTCCCGCATTCGTTCAAGTGACGTGCCTTTCCACCGATGCAGAAAGTTGCATTCACTTACACAGGACTCAAAACTCTGAAAACTTCACAACTAAGACTAAGGACCATCGGAATGATGAGAAAAAAACTCCGAAAGGAAAAAAAATTGAATCGAAATTCTGACAGAAAACAAAATTTGAACAGTGAACTTATGTGATGGTTTCTTTAATATTTTCGCAAATCTTTGCTTCTTAAAAAACTTTTATTGTATTACATTTATCCTGTATCCCCACTATTATCCGCTACTTTCCAGTGAGAGGGAAAACACTGAGCGGTCACATAACTACGAATTTACGATAAGCCTTACAAGGTTTACTTAGAAGAAAAAAGGAATGCAAACGGATCCAAGTAACGCCCTAATGTCAAGGAAGAACACAGTTTAACCTTCATGGTTTGTATGTTGTTATTCAAGTGTACTTTTGCATAAAATAAACTAAAAGACCGGCTATAAGCTAAAACTTGGCAGATTTGGTTAACAATCTTCAACTTGTCGTCTAAATTCGATTGTACTTCATTTTCTATAATATGTAAAGCTACGGTAAGCAACCTGGTCAAAAACATCGTCGATGAATCAGATTTACTAAGAAATCGCAAGGCGGAACTAATTAAAAAAGAAAACTTAGTAGGAGGAATAGAACAAGAATAAAAAGACTACTGGAAAGAACATCCTATCTTGTAAATAACTTTCTTCCTAAGGAACACAGATGGTTTTCTTCCAAAGACTTTTCTACTACTTCGCTTACTTATTTTGCTAAAGTTCTCAATTTTATTGGTTACAGTCACATGCCACCTCTTTTACCACCTGGAAAATATTAAGGTGGTTCGAGCGAGTACTCTATAGTGCTCATTGCATCACAGCTTCTAAATGAGCTCTGCTCACTAGAAGGACATAAAAGGAACACTTTTCGAATGAGACCTTTTATTCTTGTTTTTACAATGAGATACTCTATACAATAGAGAGAAAGCTAACAGCATTCAAACATTTCTTGTTTTGAAAAAAAACCTTTTCATGCAGAGAAAAGATGATTGTCTGAATGTGTGACAACGACGGATAAACACTTTAGTCTGTTGATTAAGCATAGTTTCTACTTTGTAAGCAAAAAAACAAATTGGTACCGAATCAGAGAATTCAATAATTCCTAGTTCCTATTGCTGCTAGAATAAAACTAACCATGTAAAATACCCAGCCTGCATCCAGTAGATTCACTACAGAGCGAATTGGAGCTTAGGTCGAGAGAAAGTTGCACCCACGATCTCTGATTCAACACCAGCTTAACTATAGAGACTCAGTGATATAAACCATATTGGCAAAAGAACGAATGAGAATGGTATCGAATCAGGTATAAAACTTCTTTAAAGAGTCACTTTAGCTTCTATGGTACTATTAAGACACTATTACCAAGGCATGATTGAGGCCAAAACAAAGGATAAAAGGATGACGGATAAATCGTTCAGCGGTGATCAATCTTTGAGGTATGCGCTATGTATTTAACTTAGTCAAGCATCGTTAGACGTAACTGAATTCATATCTGGCCTATGCATTGACTCGCGCTGCCCCATCAGTATCAAGGAACTGCTACTCTCCTCCCAGAAGAGAGCGAAGGATTGGTGAACGCGGGACGTGGGATCGAACGAAAGACTACGTATGTATAGCAGGACACTTCTAACCACTGCGCTACAAACGTCCCTAGACGAAAGCGAAATGAAAACATTCCAATTGACTAGAAGAAATTCTCAATTTCTAGCTTCAACGTACTGCACTTTCTTCAAAAAAATTGCTAGAAATTGCGCAAATCACCTCCTTGTTCGGTTTAACACCTCGGTACATTAACATACGAATTGTCAAAAGAAGAACTGAAGAAATTCGTAATTACTGGAGAAGTAAATAAATCAGTGAAGGAAAAGAAAAAACATTTGGTACCCACGGTAATACTTGAGTAAAAAAAACGCGTAAAACACTTTACCTATGAGCGCTCTTCTAACGATTAGAGGAGGTACCAGAGACATGGAACGATTATATTAACAGTTACGGTATGAGGAAGCCCCGCCCTTGTCGATATAAAAGCCGTGCTTGTGACGGTTGTATCACACGCTGCAAACAACACTACATGCTGCATCTGGTGGTGTTGCTCGTTGGCTTCATGCCACTTTCCCACACACTCATCTGTTTCGAGAACGATGACAAGGTGACTGACGAGTTTTTCATTTTTCATGTCTTATTTTCAAAAATTAAGCTTTACTAAAAACAATTCTCAATGGTTACTGAGATTCGAGCTATGATGTTGAACAGCAATTTCATCAGATCGGTAAAATCACATGTCCTCGACCGTTCGTTCCATCTTATGAAACCCAGCTTCATTGTGTCCACTGTCAAATGAATCGCCGCCCTGCTAGGTGAAACCTCCAACCGGCGTTCATTTGTGGTGACGAGACTAAATCGAGCATAGGAAGAAGAAAAATACGCTCAAAAATCGATTCCTCGGAAATCCTAAAACCTCTTCTTAATCTGCACTCCACCAGTCTGGAAAAAACCAACAAAAACGGAAATATCACTTTTTGGTGTTGCGTATACGAGCAAAGTCGAGTATGCGTAATGCTTTAATGGAACCTTTCCTCAAGAATTCTAACGTCTAAGTTTTTTCATTGCATTCGAGGAACAAAACTTAGACCATAAATGAAAGTTATTCTTCAAGACTCTGCCCCTTTCCTTGAGTTTGAAAGAGTGGAAGCAGGATAATCAGAGTTCATGCGAAGTGCATGACCGCTCTAGAACTGCAAAGCACGTGTGTGTGTGTGATTTTTTGAGCACCCAACTTCTACTCAAATCAATTGAATCAGTTCGAAAAAGTTTACAAAATATCAATAATTGAGATGCTCTAGAAAAAATTTTGAAGATGAAAAAACAGCGACGAAAATTTCCACTGAAATCCCTCTTCTTTCGCTTAAGACTAATTTTGGAAGTAGACATTAGAAAAACTTTTAAGTTTTCTCGTAAAGAAAGAACAAGGATAATCAGATGAATTTGCATAAACTGGAGAGCTCTGCTAAGGAAAAGTGCCAGAATTAAGACCATCGAACCATAATATTTCATAATATTTACAATTTACATTATTCAAGACATCTACACAATAACAAATCTCCTTTAAAGGGCAACATCAAGGAGGTGCAGAATAAAGAATGGAATTACTGTGGACTCATCCCCGAAGACGAACACTCAGAAGGAAGAATGTTCGGAACTGGTAAGTTGGAAAATAAAATTCCTAAATATCATGAACGAATGCACAATTTATAGATCAAAGGCAAATGATAAATTCCTTGTAGCCCGAAAGGAAAAGAAAGCCTCAACAGAGCTCTCAATTTCTCCACCTCCGCTAACCGAATAAAGCTCCTCGAATCCTCTTCTACCTCTGAAATTCCATTAAGTCTAGAGATGCCATAAAAATGTTGATAGGGTTCACTTTACAGAGCTTTCATATTTAAAAAATATTTGTTATCTATTGTTTCCAAAATATCCGTTCTAGGAGACGGAGAGGAAACACTAACGGGATTTGACACAACTTTTCGACAGTCGGACTCGTTGTACAAGGTTCTCATGATCTGCGTATATGAAGTGAGTTTTATCGCTACCAAAAAGCTGAACAATGTTAGCTTTTTATTTACGGCTAATTTCTTACGGCTGGTCATTATGTGTGACTCAACCACAATGATGCTGAGATATTTGCAAAACTTCGGACCGCAGGTGGTTTGCGGTGGAGAACGAATACGATATTACCCTTTCAGGGCTAAAGTGTTCACCACCAGACCATACGGGCTTTTCATTTCGTTCCTCTCTCAGCTAGTTCTATCGATCAGGCTATCAGCAATCATACCCATTTAAGCTGAGGCTGTAACCTAAATCACAATGTTAACTTTTTATTTACTGCCTATTACAATTTTTCACGGCAGGTTATCACGTGTGATTCAATCACAACGATTTTTTCTGGGTTTGTTACCGATTTGGGCCCCCTAGATCAATCCTGTTGAAGATTGATTGCTGGTGGCCTGATCGATAGAACTAGCTGAGAGACGAGCGAAACGAAGGAGCTGCATGGTGTGGTGGTGAACGCTTCAGCCCCCGGAAAGGGTAATAGCGCATTCGTTCCCCACCGCAAACACCTGCGTTCTGAAGTTTTGCAAATATCTCAACATCTCTTAATAACTCGAAAGACCGACTTTCTATAAACCTCGGTATAGATAGTTGATATATTTATTTATGTGATCTTATAAACTGATCTTCTTAAGCTGACGCGAGGTTGGTACAGATCTCCGTTCTCGTTATTGTTTTTGATGTCCTGCACGTAACATCACGGCTCTGAGGAAGGCGAAGTCGCCGAAACGTCAGCCATCGATCAATAACATCAAAAACAACGACAACGACAACGGAGATCTGTACCAACCTCGCGTTAGCTTAAGAAGATCAGTTTATAAGATCACATAGATAAATATATCTCAACATCATTGTGGTTGAGTCACACACGAAAAAAACTGAACACTTCTCTGTGATATTTTTTCACAATCTTCATATCAGTCTAAAAAATGAGCCATATTACAACGTTACACACCAGAGGCAGTAACTAAAATTAGAATATTGTCATTTCGAATGCAACTTCAGTTCAACTGGGTTCAATGCCAATTTGTGCTCTTCAGATCATTCCTGCTAAGGAGTGATTGCTGTTTGCACCATTAGAGTAGAAACACAGGTGAGGAAAAGGCAAAGAAGCGCCTCGGTTGGTGTGATGAATAGATAGCACGTGAATCTCGGTAACGGTTGTTGCGGGTTCCTGGACCTACAATGGTTCTGCACATATGTCAGCATTCCCGTAACTACATACTATAATTAAAGTGGAAGAATTAAACTTAATTCTGTTATTGAAATTAATCCTTCTCAAAAACGGTAAACATGAACAGCATTTTTTGTCAACTCTGTCATCTACTGAGCGCTAAACATTCGACAAAGTAATAGAACTTGTAGAATTTCAAGAACGAAATCAACTCAAGTAAAACATATGTGTATGTAGATAAATATGTATATATATACAAATACAATTATATATAAACATAAATATACGCACTGTAGTCAACGCATTTGGTTCACTCTAGTCATACCAGTTGGTATAAAAAATGTATACGGCCAGTTATAAGTCAGTGGAATAGAAAAGGAGGTAGATTTCTCTATAGAGTTTTTTTCACATAAAGTGTTTCCCACTTACTGACAGCATTACAGAAGTACGACCTGCGATCGTTATCCCCAAATATCGGTAGTCCAGAATTCCTGTTTCGTTGTGTCTGCAATTACGACCGATGCAATTCGCATCGAACTTTTGCCGGATATTTGCAAAACGTGAAACGAGATAACGAATAGAGCTCGATTTCGCTGGACAGCATAACTCGGCCAGGTGATTGCGATGAACACCCACAGCCTCAGATGAATGCCGATGAGGTAAGATTTGACATTGCAAACGTAGCTACTATCTCCCCTGTTGATACCCTTTCCCGATTATCTTGTCAATTCGCTTATAACCAATCCTACGTCCACCTATTCTCTTTCTTTAGTATTCAGATTTGTAAAGCAGTTAGTCTTTTTGTGTCTTGTTTTATTCCAAAGATCTAAAAATTTATTTTGGAAGATTTCATCCACTAAAAATAATTCCTAGGACATTAGTACTTATATTTTTAAAGTGGAATATGAATTCAACCGTTTCCATAGTAGTTGTATGGCATTCTGTTTGGTCGTGTATGGGTGATTTTCATTCAGTAGAATGCTGTTTGTTAAAGAAATTTCTGCACTAGCGGGTATAAAAACACTCAATGTCTTCACAACGTATATCACCACCTTCTTGAGAGACTCATCACAATAATTAGGTATTTTTGCTAAGAAAAAAGGTTATCACCATTTTTTTCTGATGCCCACGTATAAAGTGAAAATAAGATTCAACATCTTTCAGAAACACCGACTTAAGACGAAGATGAGAGTTACAATACAGCTTGTGGCGTTAGAAGAACAATAACCTCGTTAAGCTTTTATACGACGGCTTACCCTACGGACGAAGATAGGCTTCTTTCTGGGACATTAGGATGACACGTTCTTTCAAAGTTACCTTCACCTCTGTTGATATTTTTAAACAGGTTTTCTCGATCGAAAAATTACTCAAATGGCAAAAAAACGGACAGAAAACGCAGTGAAAAGTAACAATCTCCACGAATTCTTTGTCTCTTGCACATAGAGCTTTTAACGAGCTCTTGAAATTAATCGGAAGTCATTTAAAGCACTGCACTTTCAATAAAATCCAAGAGTCCACACTCGTTTCACGAATCGACCGACGATATTCTTCACACTCAACCAATAAACAGGAAACAGGAAAATGTGACGAAAAATACGCTAAAATGCCGATAATTCCGTATAAAAGAGTTCTCATGTACCGATGCTCACTGACAGACATGTGCAGTGCAGCGGTTAGACGCATGACACGCCTGGTTTTGGGTCCGGTCGCACCCCCGAGTTAACAGCACATTCATCTCGCTGGGGTCAATAAATTGGCATCAGATTTGGTTGGAAGGACAAAGACACTGAATTCGTTCATAGGTAGGCCACCGTAAGTTGCATAGAGCAAATGTGCATTCAGTAAGCTCAATAATGCTTCTCTTGCCGTCGAATGTAAGATGTGTCTTTAAGGATTTGATTAAAGCTTATGGCTTAATCCTTTTAACCTTATTTATCGTCATCGGGGTTCTACACTTCCAAAAACATGAGAATAAGCTTACATTCAATGAAAACAGACGTTTTCGCACAACTTATCAATGAGGACAAAGCGTCCGGATTTGGTTGTTCCCTTAAAGATGCATTGTGCGAACGACTTCATTCGTAGCATTATAGAAATAACTGAATGCATATTTGGGTATATAATGACATCCATAAGCCTACCACAGCACTTTTAATCCAGCAAACAAATCTAGTACCGATTCGCCGACCCAGAAAATACAGGAGGCTTGATTTTCTCAGGGTGCGTGGAATCGATGGAGGACTGAGTATCCATAACAAATGCGTTACACGCGTATATATAACTTATTAATATAATAGAAAATAGACCGATATCTCGACCAGAAATAAACATTTCAAGGTGCTGAGGCTTATTTGGTCTTACCGAATATGTAATACGAAAGAATCTCTATCGAACTTTTGTTTTTCCAATCAGTAAATTATGACCATTTGTGTCGCCCTATAAACACTTGAAAACATTCTTTCACCGAGCACACCTAGATAAACTACTAACTATCACTAATTGTTGTCCATGTAAATAGTGCACGTCTAGCGCAGCGGTAATAGGTGCCCTGCACCACACATGGATTCGCTCCCGCAACCCAGGCTTACCAAGCCTTCCATGCCGCAAAGGTCGGCCAACTGGTATTAGACTTGTCTGGAAAGTCAGCAGCACTCAACAAATGGGGAGTCTACCGCGAGTATTGTACCAGCCAGACATGCATTCAATCACCTCTAACAATACTTGATAAAGACGAATGGATTGCGTATCCCTCACGGATTGATCAACACCGACAGCCTTGTCCTTTTGTCACTCTGTCTACGTTAACCAATTAGTTGGGGATTTTCTTCACCTTTTCAAAGTTAAACAGTTGGAAATGAATGCATGGCTCAACCCAAAGGAATTGATCAACGCCTAACACTTTATCTTCTATACTTTATCACTATTTCGTGCAGTCACCACCTAGCCGGACAACTCAAGTTCATAGTTCCAAGCAATAAGAACTGCAATCGTCTCGATAACAACGGAAACCAATTTTTCCTCGAAAAGTAGTCCCTTTTCAACACAAATTTGTGACGTAAAGATGGAACAGGTGGTATAATCTTTTTCCAATGCACTCTGTGTCTGATAGTGGCGAAAACCATTAATTTTTTTCACAGAGCAGCACACTTATAGTTCCAATGGCTGTGACGTGGAGGATGAAAGGTGATAGATTTCCTAATTCGACATTGAGCACGACGGCAACACGAGGGAATCTATCAATTAGTTCGACTTCGTGTCACAACGATTATGTTTAAAAAGCAGTAATAATTTGTGAAGAAACGAACATTGATATCATCGCTATGAATTCCTGATCTCAGTGGTTCGTTTCGCAACGTTAAAACTATCAGGTCGTTGAATTTCAAGATAGTCAACAGACAGATAGAGCAACGGTCCTTGCATCTAACCTGACCAGTGTTCAACAATGTTATTAAGAAATCACTCATTCATTTAGATTCATTGTAGTTTTTCTTTTTGTCTCGATTTTTCTTTAGAGTAGTCTAAAGAATCATCAAAAATCATTATAAAAGAAAAAATCGAGAAAAATTTTTGTTTGAATCAACATGTCGGTGTCATAATGCATAACTTCTATCTACTGTCCATTAATTTTTCACATCAGACTATCAATCACAATGATGCTGAGATATTTAGAAAACTTGGACCCCAGACCAGATCGAACTCCGATTATTCTTTCCGGGTGATAACGTGTGAAGAAATAATGGGCAGAAGATTAAAATTATTTGTTGTGATTTCGACTACATGCTCAGCTTAACTGGGTTCAATGCCGATTTGTGCTCCCTGGATCATTCTCGTTGACGGGTGATTGCTGATGGCAGCGTTGTGTAGAAAACTAACTGAGAGAAACGCAGAGCGACGACCGCCGTGGCGCAGTGTGTAATGCGCGAGCACCCGAAAAGGGAAATCGTAGTTCGACCTAACCCACGGTCCAAATTTTGCAAATATCTCAGCATCGTTGTGGTTGTAATTCACATCATACACTGCCATGAAGAATTGTAGCAGACAGAAAATAAAAGGTTAACATTATGTATGTATAATATATATTCTCAGAAGTTATGTCAATGGTTGAAAAATTACAGTGTGTTGTGGAAAAACTTAGTCTTTTTTCCAATATTTTAAATGGGTGAAAATAATCACTTAACAGCCTACTGGTCGAGCTTACCAATCAATCAAAGACCAATGCTCCGTTCATAAGTTTATGTAGACGGCCAGCTTTTAGGCAACGTTCTTAGTATTAGCTTTCTTTGGACATTCACGAGAACTTCTACATTTCCACAAGTGCTGATAATTTTTCAACTACAGTACTTCAAAAGCTTTTGAGGTGACAGCTTTGTGGAACAGACGTGTTCTACAACTCTAAACACCTATATTCTTCCAAAGTGTTACTTTAGCTGTAATCTACTTGAGATTCAAATTCCTGAAAAAGTTCGGTAGACGCAAGTTTTTTCTTTCATTTAGTGGAAGCTAGGCAGTTAAAAATCACAACTGTACATAGGAGAACACCACCTGTTCTGAACGACAAAATGCCGTTTCCTCAATTGCTCCGTCGATGCTCGAAATATAAGCATTTTGGAAGCATAATGAACACTTTTTGACTTGGGAAAAAAATCAGTTCATCTTTGCAGGATATTCAGATCTAAATCTTATTGTCAACGATCTCTAAAATCTAACAATTTTTATTTTAATTAGTAAAGATCACCATAAGCTAATTTGGGCTTATTTAAATAATACACAACTATCTTCGGCCATTGTCTCGTAAATTATAGTATTTGTCCATTTCAACAATTTTTTCAGTTTCAACTCAATTAAATAGCACATGATGCTACAGAATCAGAAAAATCTGATATAACTCAACCGACACACTGTCCAAAGAGCGCTGAAGATGCTGAACGTTGACGACGAATAAATAAGAAAAAAAGGTAATATGCAACGTCTACTCAAAGATAGTAACCTTCTCTAATAATGGTGACGATTTCTTGAGAATATCGTAGCCATGGTAGAACACAGAAGAGATAAAGAGCTTCAGAGTTTCATCAGCTGTCCTTGGTGATGGGCCGATCCGTCGCAGACGACGTCGATGGTAAAGATGTTGGATCTTCTGGAACGATGACACAAATCAGAAACATTCATCTCTTTTCTCTTCTTTTTTGAACCGTTAGAGAGATTCCATACAGAATGTCAGCAATTTGGATTAAGAGGGACGATAGAATTCGGCTTTCGGAACCGAATTTCAGACGAATCAGATATTTCTGGATTTTGGCCATCTGCTTTCAATCAAGTAGAGAAAAACGTGCAGTCAGTTCTTATTTTTTTCTTTCCATAGAACAACACATAATATAATGGAAATTCACGGTAGTTAGTTAGGGAATGAAGCCGAGTTCGGTTCTCATTTCGATAGTTTACAAGTCGTACCCGTAGTAAAACGTAGAAGTCAAAATGAGAAAAATTCAAAGAAAATGAAAAGAAAAATGAATGATTTAAATAAAATATTTGGTGATCCAAATTATTTTCACTCTAAATCGACAACGTTGGATTTCAGCTGAATTTACAACTACAAGGAAAATATACGTATTTGATGACTCGTCTGTCCAATTTTTTTCTATATAACCAGTCTTCACGTCTATTGTGCGGATACTAGCACTTCTCACATTTGATGTGTTTCCTCGCATCCACTGTTCACGAAGATCTTTTAACTTTTACGCGTGGCTCCGGGTTCCTGCTTGAGGATTTCCATTTCATCTTGAATGTCGTAGTGCTGTTGGTCGAGCAATTCTCCCTGGAGTCCTGAGATAGCCGAGCTGGAGTTTTCCAACTGGATTTCAGGGAGTGATTTTTTTCCCAGACATGTCCGGTACCAACTTCCTGACCCCGGAGTGGTAAAAGGCTTGAGGAACCATGGGGGCGGGTATCTATTACGCGTGCGAACTGCAGGGCGCCTCCGACCACTATTCCACACGCGCTCCTAGGAAAGGGCATAACTATTACTATAACAAAGATATATTCAGTAATTACGCCCTTACAACGCACCACAGCATGCATAGAATTCCAGCAACTGAGAACCAAACAATTTGTAAAGAAAGAACTTCAAGAGGAAACTCTTCATTTGATTTTGTTATCGGGATTTTTCACATTTCCCCTCCTTCAATTATTACAGCAAAGGAAATGGATGCTTCATATGTGACTAGAAGGCTAGAAATTAAAGAAGACTAAAACAACAACCGTTTAGCAAAGGAAAACATAACGAAGCACCAACAACTACAACGATTCCTCAAGGTTTATACTTCATTCTCTAGAAAGATTAAGCTCAGTTGAAGCAATTCAAGTATACGTTTCATTAACTTATAGTTCTTCTTGATTTCTTAGACCGCTATGCTTGTACGAACAAATTCAAAATAGGTGCACTGAGGTACGCCGATCACTTACGCGCTATATCCACTAATTCAAATCCACGCCGAGGCAACCAGCGTTATAATCCGCTGTCAGCAAATTAGCACCAGATACGTATGGGAAGTGCGTCATCAGAAACAAAAAAGTCAGTGACTACCAGAATAGTAAGTAGGATCTCCTCCGAAAGCACTTAACGACATCTATGAAGAAAGAATGCTCACGTAGTTGCTAACTTCACACAAACACCTGAAGATTCTTGTGGACGACGGTTGTGAGGGAACGAATCGGATGGAAGAATTGCAGGGAACCACACAATATGTAAAGACAGATCTCATAGATGATGAGGAATAAACGTAAGCATCCCGCATAGTCAATGAACAAATAATTTAAAAGTTCGAAATTTTGACCATTGCTCATATTCATAAGCTTACACGTGGTTGTTACCCTCAGAGCCGCTTTCTATGAGGTTTCCACTAAGTATGTCGCGTACAGACCAAAGTAGACCAAAAATTGGTCTCTACGTGACATACTTAGTGGAAACCTCATAGAAAGCGGTTCTGAAGAAGGCGAAATCCGCCGAAACGTCAGCTTATTCGTGAATGAAGAACAATAACACCTCGCGTTTGCTCAACAAAAATACGAAGAATTATTTGATCAATGCCGAGGTTAATAGAAAGTCGGTCGTGGGAGTTACATTTAAATGTTTCATAGTACTTAAATAAATTAAACAAAAGTCTTCATTGAACGAGCAACACGTCAGAACTTTGACGCCACATGGTTAAAAATACCAAAGAGATTCAGATGGCCTAAAAATAGCCACAAATTTTTCAACAAACCCAGAAAATGGCAATAGTTACCGATCGATAATTACTTGATTGCAAAGAAAACTGTCAACAAGACTTCTATATATTCAGTCTATACAAGTCTCGAAGTAATCAAAATATATTTTGGTTTCCATCACAAAGTGGAAAAAATCTTGAAACGCCTTGACCGAAGGATCAGGACCAGCTCGGGCTTTAAACTCAACTTCTTTTCTTTTTTTTCTTACCACATCTACCTTTTTCGAAATCACGAAGGACACACGCCTTCTAGATAAGGTGAGATTTTACGTACTAGAATACCGTCACCGTAGTGTTCGTTATTTGCACTATTGTTTTTCTCTACTAAATTACAGGTCTTATAAAAGCTTTTTGAGCTACGTCAACGAATTGCGTTGAATTTCGTTAAGAATAGTGCAGTGGAGAATAAAAAAGTGAACCAAAATGAACACGAAACTTTTTACTGAAATTCAATAACGGCTTCAACCTTAACGTAATGGCATGCCGCAATAGCAGTTAGCTGTGGCTCCATTTGATAGGTTATTTATACACGACAAAATTCAACTGGACTTTCGTTGCACAGAGAATTAATTGCTTATTTAGCCTGTACATGTGGTAGCCCATCTTTGAACCAATCCAGTGGTTTTATCGCCCATAAAGGTTTAGTAGCAATTCACCAATCTGGACACACAACGCGGTTGATTTATACGGGTGTGCAGGATCGAACCAACGACCAAACGTATTTTGCAGGGCACCACTCATCAACTACACAGCACACATCCCTGCTGTGTTGGAGACGTTTCTCACGAAAGAAATTTGGCCACATTTATGTGCAACACCTTGAACAATCGCATAGGAGGACTGGACAGAACATTTCCCATGTTATGATTCACTCGAGTTATCTAGAAAACCTCGAACCCCTTCTGGTCATCATTTATTCATAATGAAGCAGAACAAGTTAAACTGTAAATTTTTCGCTTTCCGACGCTTTTAGAAAAGTTACCAGCTATTTTCTCTGCTCAGAAACATTCAGATAATTAACGATTCACGTCGTATTGGAAAAATGACAAAAGTCCTTCAAGAAAGAAGAGATATGTATTAAATAATTAGATTTTCAAAAAAATAAATCTAATATGTGAACTCTGGCAAACGAGAAGAAAACCAGTACGAAAGAAAAAAACTTAAAAACCATTTATTCAAGATCTGTGGTGCAAATGTTGAGGAAAAGAAAAGAATAAGAAATGTGTCTATGTATGACACACATTTAGTAATTAAATAAATAAAACAAATAAGTAAAAGGAAAAATAAAGAAAACAAAAAATGCATGATTAGTTACTTAAATAGGTGAAATAGTAAAAAAAATCACATAATAAGGTGTTGACGCACTCAGCTGCGAGCTCATAAAAAAATAAAGGATAAAGCTCTCGGCGTTGATCAATCCCTGAGGGATGCGCCATGCATTTGAGTTCATTAAGAATCGTTTGCAGGTGATTGAATGCATATTTGGCCTTTAAAATGACTCGCGGTGGCCTACCGATGTATCGAGCCAGTGTTGCTATCCTCCCAGACAAATCTGATGGTTCCAATTTGCCGACGCCGGAGGGATGGAACGCTCGGTGGGCCATGGGCGCGGGGATCGGATTCTACGTGTGTTGCAGGGCGCCTCCAACCACCGCACCACACACACCCACACAAAAGCTTATATAACAATAAAAAGTAAGTATTGACGAATAGACTAACGTAACGAGTGAAAATGTCAAATGGAAGTACAGTAGTTATTAGAGCTTGAGAGAACTCGTACATCTCTCATGGAAGATATGTTTAAAACTTGCTCTTAAGAAACTTAGTTGTTTATTTTTTAAGTAAGTAGAAAAAAATCACTTTAAACTGCGACGAATATGGCTGAAACTTCTCACATGCAAACACCATCAGATCTCGAGAATCTTTCGGTCGATATATGGTAGAAACAGTGAACGGCTGAAAAAGGAAAAAAAAGTTTAAAAAAAAAACAGAATACAAAAATTCAAAAACTTTTCTTAATTTTATCACCGCCCTATAACTTTCACATTCTTTAACGAAATTCTGCCTCTTTATCGTACTAAATGAAATGCGAATTATCCAGTCATCAGTACATACCGTCGCTTTCGAATACTCAGCGTAATTGATGCTCGAAAAGGTAGACACGAGGTAGTAAAAATTTCTGATTGTTAAATTTCTAGAAATCAAAACCAAGAAATCCAAATAAGAAGTCCATTTACCGATTTCAAAAAAGGAAGATAAATTAAAAGGTGCAAAAACCAATAGAAATCATGCATAGAGAACCAACCGGCGATTTGGATGATCTGACTGCACTCCCGCGACTCGACTCGTAATCTCGGTCCAAATTTCTCACCATGAAACGAGCACCGTCCTCAGATACCGACTCTCGGTGTCTGAATCAAACTGATAACGATTACGATATTTGTTGACAATCTATCAGTTTTCTTCTGCGCGTAGTGCAATGGCTAGAGCTGCTGTACAATGCGAACATCATTTGTTCGTTTCCACACCGTGAGTAAACGGCCATCCCATTTTGCAAGGTCAACAAATTGTACTGAACTTCTTTGGGCAGATGATACCACTGATTGAAGATTTAAAAAAAGCACAGATGACACATCAGTAGGACCAGCAATTCACTGCAAAGGCTAAATACGCATTCAATCTCCTCTAGAATTCTACTAATAGGATCGAATGTATGGCGTTTCCCTAAACGATTAATCATCACCAAAGGTTAACCTTTTTTCCATATGACTGAACTATTTTTGTACCCCAATAATACTAAATATACTCTTCGATAATTGTATCTTTGTTTTAACTTTTCACTGACTCCCTATTTTTCAAGGGCAAGGCATGATATGTAGTACAACCACAAGGATGCCAAGATATGAGCAAAACTCGTAGCCACAGAAGAGCTTCAAACCTGTGATTACCTCACAGGAAGCCCAGTCCACCATATGAACCAAGCTATTTGTTCTGTATTTCTTTCAGGCATGTTTTTACTCTTTCGGTGCTATAAGCAATAACATAATACATAACATAATATCGTACCCGGAGCTCACCTGATGCTTCGAGTTTTGCTCATAACTCAACATCCTCATTTGTTTACACCCGCACTGTATTTTCCTATTATTATTACTGAACATTGGGAGTTATCATTTCAATCAATAAAGCCTTTTTGACGAATAAAGTAGCTCGCAGCCACCACCGACAATTTCCGTAAACTAGATACGGTAAAACAGCGTTCCAAAACATCGTTCTCGATGCCATGAATCCCTGCCTCTTGTACGCAAAGAGATTATAGAATACTAGAATCTAAGTGCTTTGATATGCTCTATAATTGAACACTCGATTCTGGTTTCTTGATAAGTAGGTACGAAGACGCTACTACAAAATTTATCTCATAGGAGCGAACGTTTCGGCGGTTCTATATTCTTCAAAGCTGGGAAAGGTCAAATTGATATGGAAGCTCAGCCAAATACTTTCACAAACCCAACGGAAGAAACTCGAGATCTAGATATTGAGATATTAGATATCTATAGATATAGATATCTCGAGATATTTTTCGCTTAAGAAATAGCTCCTTGAAAATTCTTCACTCTTCAGAACACCTGTTTCTTGCATGTCCCCCATTTACAGATGTGGACCACCTACACAGAGTTTGCAAGGATAAGGAACACGCCGGTCTCAGGTCAAAAAATAAATCTGAGGTATGGGGCGAGGTCATGCCTGATTAAAACGCATTCATAATTGCAGATTATCTCTGGATTTTCAGAATTTATCGGAAAGGCTGCAAAAGATTTGCGCGCTGCTACCGTAAATTTCCGTGCCAAGATAGCGACTTTTACTTCAAAATCCCCGTTATTTCTTTGTTTCCTATGCATGACTAGTAGCGTATTTTATTTGACTTTAAGTTCATTATTAGCTCAATTATCCATAGGTTAACGATGGTTGAAGAGGTTGAATGCATACCCCAGCCCTCATGGGCTGATCAACGCCGAGGGCTTTATTCTTTATCTCTTTAACTTCCTAAGCGAGAAACGCATCAGAATTCTAATCCAGACTAAAGCTGCCCTCAACGATATTATTAACCCCGAGAGGGTTTCAGTGCTTTGCGCAACCAGAATATATGGACCATTTCCTGTTGACAGAAATGTGTAGATTGGAATGGCACTTTTTTCGGTCAATAAAGTGTATTCTAAGCCACTTCAAAGACACATGTTGAAATCGTACACTAATTTCCGAACGAGAGATGCAACAAAATGATTAAAAAACATGAGGATGAACAAAATAACGAGTCTAGCCTAAGACCGCTGTGACAAGTTTCTATCCGAACTAACCTAAGACTCTCATCGCACCATTCAAGACTCACTTGTGATGCTGAGTCGGACTCACGTAGTGGATTCAACATGTGCCTGAAAACATTTCATTGTTCAGATGGAAATTAGGACGCTCTTACAAAGACTACCGTTTGTAATAAATCATGACATCGAAATTTACAGATATATGACGCCCCACATGATCTTTAAAGTCCTTTCGTACAATGTTAGTTTTTTACTTTCTGCCTCCCACAATTTTTCACGGCACGGTGTGATGTGAAATGTAGAGGCCTCCATGGTGCAGTACGCGGTCCCCCGGAAAGGGTAATAAGAGTAATCAGGATTCGATCTGGCTCTAGGACCAAGTTTTGCGAATATCTCAGCATCGTTGTGGTCCTTTCTTATAGTTGTTATCCCTGTTTATGCTGCACAACTGACTTCAAAGAATACAATGAAAAAGAGGCTGGTGAAAGTAAATATTAGGTGTCATTTAGCTACATTTTTTCATTGTGAAGAAAACGCGTTCGGTCTTAGGACTGCGTCTACAAGAAGTACTCGTAGATGAACGGCAAAGCAGATAATATTCCGAAGTAAATCAAGCAATGAAGTCCATGTTGCCGGTGGTGTTAAATCGAGTCAATATTATGAATTATAGTTGCAACGTATAATGTATCCCCACTCATTCTCACCTTAACGCCTTAATATAATCAAAAATCAGCGAAAAAAAGAGAACATGCTGCCGAGTCCGGATGCGTTTTTGATTTTTATGGACTTGCAGTTAGGATTTCGCATGAAATTTTTTAAAAATTGGATCTTTTCCTTCCTTTTAAAAATCTGAATAGCTTCAAAAATCAAATAACAATCACAACAACGCTGAAATGTTTGCAAAATTCCGAACCGCAAGTGTCTGCGGTAGGCAACAAGCGGGCTATTAACCTTTCCGGGAGCTGACGCAATCACCACCACACCTTGCGGGTTCATCGTTTCGCCTGTCTCTCGGCTAGTTCTATAGATCAGTGCCATTAGCAATCACCCGTCAACGGGACTGATCTATTGAAAGACCCGCACAGTGGCTCACCAAGCCTTTCATCACTCCGGGGTCGGCGTATTGGTATCAGACTTGTCTGGGAGGATAGAAGCACTATCTCGATACATCGGTAGGCCACCGCGAGTTATTGCAAAGGTTAAATATGCATTCAATCGCCTCCAAACGGTGCTTAATGAAGTTAAATGCATGGCTTATCCCTCAGGGATTGATCAACGTCGAGAGCTTGATCCTTTTTATGGCTTTTTAAAATTGTTATTTGAAATATTTGCTTTTTATTTTCTGTCTCCGCAATTTTCACAGCAGGGTATTATGCAAAATACAAACATAACGATGCTGATAAATTTGCAAAACTGCGTGGGCCGATTCCACGTGTGTGTTGCGGGGCGGCTCCTACCACTGCGCCACACGCGCCCTTTAAAGAGCCATACTTGCTTTCAGATAGATAGTGTAGAGTCTCCCCTATAAATCGATCATGCTTCAAACTCCTCAAGTACTCCAGTTATCGGAAAATTTGCCAATTGTTAACGATTTACAAGAAACTGGTTTCTGACTCTAAGTGTTGATTTCCGTCATATATAGAAATATACAGGTCTAGGTATACATCCGTCCCTGTTTCCTTTGAAATAACCGAACAACCAAAATTTTCATGGGTACTTAAGTCTCATCACTTTTCCTTTCTTTAATTCTAGCTGTCTTCTTTTGTTGCACTAGAATGATATATTTTTTTGTTGAAAATATAGAAAATGCTCAAAGATTCAGCAAAGTCTCAGATCTTATAAGCATATGATGGCACGATTTGAAGCAAACTCCGAGATTTAGTTGGTTATAAAGTCCCTCTTTCATAAATCAGCCATAAAATGTTAAACACTAAACGACATAAATATGGAAATCTACAAACCTGTCGAATTTACCATTCCATTCATCTTCACTCGAGGACACCTCACCACCAATGGCTGAGTCGAACATTGAACGATGTTCTTGGCTGAAAATACGAGCAAATAGGGAAAAAAATTCTTTAAAAGACAAAAACTTCGCACTCATTCTTGGAAAATATCCTTGTAATGAGACGAGAAAAAAACATAAATGAATTACCTAGTTTAAATACGTACACTAATGATTGCTTGCAGTGGGTAGGGCAGTGGTAGTGATGTCGTGTATTGCGCATAAGGTCCAACCTACCTATGATGCGACCCCGCAAAGAGCTCATCGGGCTTGCCCGTCCATCCGTGGTCGGAAAATTGGTGTCTAACTTGACTCCTGGGCCGTTCTCCCTCTTTCATCAACGTGAAAACACATGGCTTTTATTAGGATTCCAAGAAGAATCGCCTCAACCAGCACTCAACGACATTCGTAAAGAAGACGAAAATGCTCAAACAGCAATCAAACTCACTCACAAAAAACGTTCGAAGACTTGCGTGGATGTTCGGCGTTAGAAAACTAATGCAATTCAAGAAGTACTGGGATCCAGACATTACGGTACATGATGTTGGGCCATGTTAAAATAAAATGATTCTTATGAAAATTTAGATCGGTCAAAATGGGTGTTTTTGTAGCGAGGTTGATTTAAGCACAACTATTACTAATTAAAAAAACAAATGTACTACATCCGGAAAATGCATCGTGCTTCTCAATAATTTGTGTGGAGCTTTCCTTAGCTATCATGCGCTACTTCTGAAATTCTTCTTTGTTTCACCTTTTCAATGGGTAAGAAATGAAGCCAGGAACTGTCTTAAACGATTCAAGCACGTCGCAGTAGCCTATCATCGTTCACCAAATCAACGCCAATCCAACTGCCATTCTTATTCAAATTTAAACCTTTGAATCAATAACTCGTTGCTTTCTCGACGAGCATATACGAGACTGTTCCACTTATCAACAGTATTTACCTAGTCATGTGGGCTGAAATCAACTTGGATCTTCACATCTATGCAGAGAATTTCCACACGGAGACCAACACTTGGACCAAGTAACCTAACCAGACTCAATGGAAGACATAGAAAACGGCGAATGTGTGGAGAAACTTTCTTTTCTAGTGTGATTAGAATTTGGACTACTTTGTTTTTCTGCTCAAGTTATGGAAGTTCTTGGCTGTCTAGAATGCAGTCAACATGAACTTTCCAAACTCTGAAGAAGGTGAAATCTGCCGAAACGCTTGCTTTTGTGGATAAATAAATCGCATAGTAACAAACTCGTTCTGTTCTTCAAACTGTTGTCCTTCAATTAAACAGCGAGCTATTGATCGCTACTGGGGTTAATCGGAAGTCGGTCTGGGGTACTAGATCCCTTGAACCAAATTACAGCTATGACAGAAATATTTCGCTATTGTTGAGAAATTTGGAAAAAACCTAAATTTTAAGGAGACGAATCGAATGCGAGAAGTAGTGGGAACCGAACAGCAGACGTGAAAGACAGATCGTATAATATAAATGTTGGGAACATCGTCAAATGGCAGAGATGCCAGCAATGGACTCCGAATTTCAGACTTCACAAAAAAAACTCAAATTATACAGAGCAACAAAAAAACCAAGAATTTCTCGCAATATAGCCGTCTTTGTGATGAAAGAGAAATCTCTCCACAGCAAAAGAAGGATGAAATTTTCGAAGAAAGCCACGAATCAATAGAAGAGGTTTTCAAGGCTTCAAAGCTTTCACCTATGCTTTGATTGTGTACTCCTTGACAACCCACTATCTGTCATCTCACATCGTTCCGGTTTTAAACGAGAAGTTGACGGTGTTTCTTGAGCAAGTTCCCATAACCTGAATTATAGAATGTTGTAAGCCCTTTAAAAAAAGTTGCTTTATACCCCAACTAAAAGGATGTCGGCTAAAAGAAACCTTGGCCATGTAAAACCGTTTTTTCTTTTATGACTGTTGTACTTTTCAGTAAAGATCTGAGTGACCACGTAAAGGCTCCCTATCACTAAGTTCTTCCCACTTCCATCTATTATCTATACTTACTTGGACACATGGATGGCCCGCCCTCACTGGTTGTGTGGACACCAGCGCGGTTTCTAATTTTTCGCTTTACTGGGTTAGCCAACGTGTTTCGCTGGAGTCTCGACGTCAGCCTGGGCAAAATCTGCCCCAGGTCGTCACCACCACACGCAGTCCCAGCCCCTGTCGATCAGAGAGATTTGCCACCATGCAACTAGTTTGATACCAGGACGGTGACGGATCCTGGTATTAGTCTACTTTTAGCTGAGCTTCCTGGTGGAAACGCCGGATTGATTCCTTCCTTTGGTAGGTACTATCTATTATCTAACAAAAAACTTCCTATGCAAACTACGAGGCTTGTGTTTGTTTGAAAATTCATATCCATTGAAATGAACCATTTGGGATCTACTACTGCGGTTTTCAAGGCGTTACAACGAGACTTCGAGGTAACTTTAGACAACAAGGAGTTTATAGATTATCACCCACACCTCACCATAAATTCCTTCCTATTTTCCATTTATACGATTTAATTTATTAGGAAATCAATTTATACAAAAGATTTATGAAAGTTGCCAGTCAATAACAACCTAACCATACAGCTACAATGACGCCGAGATATTTGCAAAACTCCGGACAGGTGACTGTAGCAGAGATTGAATCTCGCTATTACCTTTCGAAGGGCATTAAATGGTACCCGTAGTTTTGTAAATATCTCAGCACCATTGTGCTTGTATTTCACATCATACCCTGCCATGAAAAAAAAAGAATAGGCAATAAATAGAAAGTGATTCAGTCGAATGATAATCGATCCTACCCTTTTGGATCAAACACACTTGTGAGCCGCTTCGACAATTGTTTCAGATTCGAACTCGAGCTCATAACTGAACCGCTGGTCTGGGAACCTAGTTCACTACTAAAAAACAGCATTGAAAAGCGGAATATAAGCAATAACATGAACAAACCCTTTTCGATTGTTGCAGAAGCAGAGCTACCTTGGTTTCAAGCATTCCGTTTAAGACCTAACATACCTCGAAAGTGTAATAGAGTAAAAGGATGAAGATCTTGGAGTTGGTCTAAACCTGAGGAATGGCCACGCATTAGAGTTCATTAAGGATCGTTGGAGGCGACTGAATGCACATCTAGCCTTTAAGATGACTCGCGGTGGCCTACCGATGTATCGAGCCAGTGCTGTTATCCTCCCAGACAAGTCTGGTACTAATTTTTCGACCCCGAAGGGATGAAAGGCCTAATGAACCATCGGCGCGGGAATCCATCCCAAGTGTATTGGAGGGCGCCTCCGACCACTACTCTACACGCGCCAAGACAAGACAAAGGTGGTGTGTAGACGCCAAAACTTACTTGGTGAACGCTTCAAGAAGTTCGGCAACAACCTAACGCATTCATTCAGTAACAAAATAAAGGCGAACCTGGCCACAATGACACTTTGATACATGTACTTGCTGTCGATCATACATTTTCTTCGAACGGTATCAATATAAACCGCATCATCGCTTTCGATTGCGTTGTCATACAGCTCCTCGTCCGGTTGGTCGACTGCCGATGATAAGGAGAGCACCTATGAAACGGAAGTTAGTTCGCAATATCTTACTTGGTATGAGTAAAGCAAAAAGAATAAATGGTTAACGAAGACTGGAAAGGTAGGCTGAAATAACGCATCATACGACGGATTAAGGATGAAGAGCTCAGATGTGATCAATGCCCTTGGGAATGAGCAATGCAAACGACTCCATTGAGCATCATAGGGGAGAATGAACAAATAGTTGGCATATCCAATGACTTTCCGGGCTTACCGATGTACCACGACAGTGTTTCTATTCTCCCAGACAATTTTGACACTATTTTCTGAGAATTCCGAGGATGAACGGACGGAAGGATGGCTAAGCGCACGCGGTTCCAAACCAAAAACTAGGCGTATTACAGAATAACTCCAAATGTCGCCCTACTAGCGTTTAAAGTGACGAACGAATTTTGAAAAAAGTTTTAAAAAAACGCAAGAAGAAATAATGTGGATGTTGTTTCGTACGTCACGGATCTCCCTCATATGAGGGTTCTCGATTTCGAGCCGGTTAGTTGCGAGGCTACGCCGCGCGTCTCCAGGTGGCCAATAGGGGGTTAATCACGTACCAAAAGCGACTTTTGCTTCCCTGAGGCGCAGGTGGATCCAGGGGTGGACTACCTGTTTCTGCTTCGCTGATTTGGCACATGTTTTCTGTAATTACAAGGCGTATTCATGCACGCTTATGCAGACTGTATTCTACGAGTCAATTCGATCAAAAGCCTACACAAGTGACCGAGAAATATATGGGAGGCGGTCAGGAGTCGCCTCCAACAAATAAGTTCCATGTCCACTCTGGGAGAGCCTGGCAAGCTACCCATGAGTATACACAGCCCCCACGTTCACAGTCCAGCAAGCTATACGTGGATATCAAAAATGCTAAACAGTAAAAAAAAACGGGCCTCATTCCCCTGACCACAAAAGAGCTCCTAATTTCACAGCGTTGGGTAGAACAAGTACGGAGAGGCTGCTAAAATCTCAGAGCCAATGGAAGCTGCCTGGATTTAAAAGAACTAAGGTGACGATCCGTACCTACAATGCACGTACAGTCCTCGATAGAAGACTTGCTCATACAAGCAAGAAGGATAAGGTACGACGTCATCGGCCTGGCCGAGACAAGAAGAGGCAAGCCTTTCAACGCCGTCTATGACACTGGAGAAGAACTGTTCCTCGGAACATGCGACAGTAGAGGAGTCGGCGGCGTCAGCGTTCTGGTCAGCACCAGTTTGTCCATGAAAATCGATTCATTCGAACAACTTACAACTCGAATCGGACGTTTACGACTAAAAAGACGTGAATAAATTCCGGCTTTGACAAACTTCGTCGTTTACGCGATAACATCAAACTGTGACGAAGAAGAAGTCGAAGCGTTCTATATGGACTTGGAGAAGTTTTACAGAGAAGACCACACATTCTTCAAGGTCATCATTGGAGATTTCAACGCCAAGATTGGACCAAGAAGAACGTCCGACGAACGTCACATAGGTACCCACGGATTAGAATGGAATGAACAGGGTGAGCGGCTGTCTGAGTTTATCATGGCGAGCAAGACCATCAATGGTAACTCACAATTCCAGAAGCCCCACCCTCCACGTTGGACGTGGGAGCCTCCCAATGGAGAGAACCATAACGAAATAGACCGCATCATAGCAAATAGGTTTTGCTTAACCGATGTCGGTGTTGTCCCAAAATTCCACACGGGATCGGACTACCGTCTCCTTCGCGCAAGATTTTATTTCTCGCGAAAAAGAGGAAAAGCCGCTAAATTCAAAACCGAAGTCCCAGAACCACCACAAACTGGGACTTATTCAATTAATTAGTCGGCTGTTGGGAAGGTGCCGTTGTTGATAACATCGACGAAGAATGCGATCGGCTCATTCGACACCTTCACGTTAGCGCTATGAAAGCTGAGAGTTCGAAAGTCACCAAGAGATGTTTGAGTCCAGAAACACTCGAGCTGATACGCCAACGTGGAATCGCATAAGCTGCAGGCAACCGCAAACTAACGTCCGAACTTGCAAAGCAATGCAGACAGGCGATAAAAAAGATCTTAAAGAAAGAAGAGCAGAAGTAATAGTCGAAGTAGCAGAGGCTGCGAAAAGCATTCACGAAGCCTACCGAAGCTTCGCCAATTACAAAACCAAAATGATTGCACTCCGACGCCCAAAAGGAACAGTTGCAGCGTCCAGAAAGGCAATGGAGAAAATCATTCTCGAATACTATTTAGATCTCTTTGATAGCCACGTCCACCTTCCGTCATACGATTCCGAAATCCGACATGCCATTTCGTTGGTGAAAAGTCGAGCAGCACCAGGTACGGACAGGATAAGACCAGAACACCTGGAGAAGTTACTATTCAAGAAGAGTGACCGACACGATATCGGCAACTATCGTCCAATCTGCTTGCTATCTATAGTCTACAAACTTTTCACTCGAGTCATCCTAACCAGGATTGACAGAACACTAGACGAAGGACAGCCATGTGAGCAAGCAGGGTTTCGAAAGGGATTTAGCACGATGGAAAACATCCACATGATAACAAGGCTCATTGAGGTATCGCGAGAGTACAAAAGACCGCTCTGTCTAACCTTCATCGATTTACAGAAGGCCTTTGATTTAGTTGAGATAGAAGTACTCTTGGAAGTCCTTGATGGTCAAGGAGTCCCTACTCAATACATAAAGATTCTTCGTGGGCTGTACAAAAATTTCACAACCAAGATATCACCATTCTACAACGATATTAACATTGACGTCAAAGGAGGAGTCAGGCAAGGCGATACCATCTCGCCAAAATTATTTACCGCCACCCTCTAGAACGTCATGCGAACACTGGAACGGGATAACATGGGAGTGAAAATCGACGGTCGGCAGTGACATCATTTTCGCTTTGCTGATGACATCGTCCTTATAACACTAAACATTAGCTAAGCGGAACGTATGCTTACCGACTTTGGTAAAGCCTGTGGAAGGATTGGTTTTCGACTAAATCTCACATAAACGATGTTCATAAAGAAGGGATTGGTTTCGCATGCCCCATTCACGCTCAACGGAACGAATATCTGCGAATGCTCCAGTTATATCTATTTAGGACGGGAAATCAATATGATGAACTACTTAGCTCCAGAACTGAGCAGAAGGAAACGAGCAGTTTGGGGGGCTTTCGAGAGCATCGAAGATGTAGTGGAGAAGACAAAGAACACCCGGCTCCGCGCCCACCTTTTCGACTCAGCGGTACTTCCTGCCCTAACGTATGCGTCAGAAACCCGATCGCTGCGTAAGCAGGATGAAAGGTCACTAAGCGTTTTCGAACGCGTGGTCGAAATGACGATGCTAGGAGCATCCCGTTCCACACAGCTAGGGAAGGGATCCGAAGCTCCGATCTGTGTCAACGATCAAAAATCAAGGATGCCGTTGTGTACGCCAAACAATCGAAGATAAGGTGGGCCGGACACCTAATGAATGACATATGAATATATGAATGACAACCGACGCACAAGAGCCGTTAGTGACTGGATTCCTAGGAAGTCAAACGTACTGCAGGAAGACCACCGACCCGATGGTTAGAGTTCTTCACAAAGAGCCTTGAAGAAAGATATGATGCTCGACGAGTTCCTAGAGCGAGCAGAACCCACGGTGCTACTCTTGCACTCGACAGGGAAAAATGAATGATTTACTACAACCCGCTCGTATCACTCGGCGATCAACGGTACTATAGGTGATACAGGTTGTTTGGTACGGTGTAGATAAATTTTAGGACCAAAATGGTTTGACAAACCCGCTGGATACTTGTATGATAATATTAATGCATTCGAAAAACTCGCTGGAGCCAGAGTTATAAGACCAAGAAGGTTCAACAACCTTGAAACAAAGAGCATTGAAATATAACTCGCATGAAATGCTGAGATATTTGCAAAACTCCGGACCACAGGTGTATGCAGTGGGGAACGAACACGCGCTGTTGTCCTTACCGGGGAGCAGCGAACTTCACCACTACACCATCCGGGTAGACCCAATGCCGTTTATTCGGCTAACGTTTCGACGTCTTCGTCTTCTTCAGATCCTATGGTCCGAGTCGATGTTCTCAATAACCTCATGTTAGCTTAATAATCCAGAAAAAAAAGATTATTAAGGCTGAGGTTAAATGATAATCGGTTTGAAAAATACAAATGAAGAGGCTAATTGAGAAAAGTTCGACGGCAGGAAAACCGAGTAGTTGGAATGAGCAATGGATCCGCACACCTCTAATAGGTGCAGAGGTAGTATTTTCTTTATAAATACTGTTAATTTTACGACATTTAAAAACAAGACTAGATGAATTTTAAAAAATTCCTGGAAAGTGATCACTTTTGCTAATTTTTTAAAATTCAACCGATTTCGCTAAGAAACGTACATCATCAAAAACAGAACCGAGGTCGCCTACAGAGTTCGACTGCGCGATTTTCGGTTGTGAGAGAGGAGTGCGTGAAATGATCGATGGACGAGGCCGGATTTCTGGAAGAATCGATTTGTTTGCCGTACGTAGAACAATATGAAAAAGGATAGAGCTCTCGGCGTTGATCTGTCCCTGAGGAGCGCGCCATGAATTCCACTTCAATGAGCATAGTTGTAGGTGATTGAATGCATATCTGGCCTTCATAATGACTGGCCGTGGCCTATCGATGTATCGAGCCGATGTAATGTATCAAACAGTGCTGCTATCCTCCTAGACATGTCTGGTACCAATATGTTAACCCCGGAGGGATGGAGGGCTTGGTGAGCCTTAGGCCCGGCGATCGATCCCATGTGTGTTGCAAGGCGCATCCTACCACTGCGTTACGAGCACCCCATAGCCATTAATGTACAAAAATGTTTGAAACCATTCATTTATAACATGAGAAAGATCTTATTCGCTAAACACGAAATTTAAACTTGAGTGCTTTGCATGATTCCAAAAAATCTGTAGTTTATGAAAGAACCTTAAAAGCCACATCATCAATTGACAGAATTACTTATACCACCGAAGCTCGAATGTTGTGCAAATTCCAGCACTTCCTTCATTCGTCTCACTGTCTCGCATCGTTTCATTGTCTGCGAGTTGAGCTGCACTTGAGTACTTCTGCTTCTCCATGAATGCCGTTGAATGCTGGCTCAACCAATTCTACATAGGAGCCAGGGACACTTCCATTACGACGGTCCCGAGTCTTGACCACAGGTAGGAACCTGCCTTCGTGGATCGAAAAGAGCTTTTCCTTGACTAGCGAGGCATTCAACTGTCTATTTGAAGAAATGAGAAGCTTGGATAACACGCAGTAGGGTTGAAACAGCTGCAATATATGTGTGGTTGAGAGGTCTCCCTAAGCATTGAGCTTCTTTCGGATGTACCCGTTGACTTCAGTATTTGTTCACATCATTTCCTAAACGCCTTCAAAAAACGACGATAACGAAAGCCAAAACGAAGAATGATTATTTCTCAAAACTGAAAGGGCTACCTGTTGTGGCGAATTCATCATCCCAATTTTGTTGTCCTTCCCAAACGATTCGCAATGAAGCCGATTTATCCGATGACGACGAACAAACAACTGAATGCGACTGAACGGAACGACCTGCAACAAAACGTTATTCCATGACGGAAATGCTCGTCACTTCATTGATCGTCTTTTAAAAATCATCAGCTATTTTCCTAAGCAATTTATCTTTGTGGATGCCTCATACATCACTCCAACACATAAGTAATAGTACGCATTACTTTCAGTGCGCATTCTTTCCAACTGTTTATTTTTCAGCAAACAGTCTATTTTCCAAAGTTTTTGTACTCAATCGACGGCTTACCCAGCACTTACTGTGCCGGATTTGTTTCGCAAGAATCTATTCTCTATACCTGACAATTTATAAGAGAATCTTTTTCGGACCAATTCATCATTTGCAAGACCATCACAACATGTGCTCGGGAAACCGTTGAGGATTGTATAGCCGAGCTTTTTTTCAACGGTTCCAAAAGTTTTCAATAGAATTTAGAGCGTTGATGAGGAAAGGGTCAAAGACGGATCGTCACCAGCGACGATCACCATTTGAAGTCATAGAAAAGCTGCTCTAAACAAACCGACATTTTTTAGACGTTTTAAATTGAGAAAGATTTACAACCGGAAACACTTCTTGAAGTCAAATTTGTTTCCAAATAACGTAGTGAGAGCTGTTTCATGCTCGGCAGATAAAGGATAAAGCTCTCGACGCTGACCAATCCTTGAGGGATGCGCCATGCATTCGACTTCATTAAGTATCGCTGGAGGTGAATGAATGCATATCTGGCTTTTACAATGACTCACGCTGGCCTACCGATGTATCGAGCCAGTGCTGCTGTCTTCCCAGACAACTCTTACACCAATTTGCTGATCCAAAATGAATGGAAGGCTTGGTCAGCCTTATGCATGGGGCTCGATCCTATGTGCTTGGTAGATAGAACTAAAGAAACACAGGTTTACAAAAGTTCAGGCAAAACTGCAATGTTTGTAATCTGCATAGATCCACCGAAAGTCATAGATTTTATGGCAAGCCAATTGGCGTCGTCATATTTCCATTGTGCTTTAAGAGCTCGATGAATTGGAATACTACTAATCTGATTCACAGCCTCCTTCCTCATCAGATAACATTTTGGATCCATGTTCAAAGTATCAGGTATTGTAGCGTGTAGCGCAGTGGTTACAGGCGCTCTGCAATAGATATGGGTTCCATCCCGCGGGCCAGGCTCACCAAGGCGTCGATCCCTCCGGAGTCAGCAAATTGGTACCACACTTGCGTGAGAGGATAGCAGCACTGAGTCGATACATCGGTAGGCCATCGCGAGTCACCTTCGCGAATCACTGCATAGGCCAGATATGCATTCAATCACTTTCATCGATGCTGAATGAAGTCGAATACAAGACGCATCTCCCAAAGACTAATCACTGTCGAAGGCTTTATGCTTTCTTTTCTTTTAGCAGGTATTTTACAACCAGTGATCACCTATTGAATGGTAACGTTCTGTGATTTTGCCTAGGTGTACTCTTACCAGAGGGATATCTATTTATGTAACAGGACGTTTTAAAATATTGAAAAACGAACAAACTGCTCAGGAACTCTGAGCGGCGCTTTCGTTCACTCTGAACAACGAGTATTTGCAAATCAGCAAAATCAGACACAAGAAATATATCTCTATGAGAGCTTATTTCAGATCCTTTTTAGAGTACTTTCGTCAACCAACTGGTAGTAGATGATGCTTATGAGATAAATAAATAAAAAACAACATGTTTACCTGATGCGCTTTGTCGTCTCAATACACCTTCAGGGCCACTCCTCGAATGCCGAATCGCGAAAAGCCCTCGGGATTTCCGTGGATATCGCGATAGTCGTTGAAGCGAAACCTGAACAGTAATGTAATATAACATTAATAGAAACATAAAACATAAATCTTTCTACTTCTGTTCAGCAAACACGAGGTGCTACTTTATTTCTTTATTTACGCACAAGCTGACGTTTCGGCGGATTTCGCCTTCCTGAGAGCCTGGAAGGGTCAAGTTGACAGCAATCCACTCGGCCAAACACCTTCATAACCAAACAGAAAAACGCTAAACCAAGATTTCAATCACATTTAGCATAGCTCTGCACAGTCACCGCTTTCTATGAGTCTTCCACTGAGTATGTCGCGTGAAGACCGACCGCACAGAATTCACATGGAAGCGTAATGTGCCCCTCCCATTAGAATAATAGGTTTATATACTGTCCAATATCACGCGTGATAACGAGGCATTCCTCCCTGCGGTTCATTTTCAGATTCTTGGAATTTATCCAGAATGCCTCTAGAGTTTTGCGCGCTTGTGTTCTCGATTCTTGCGCGAGGATCGTAACCCTTACTTAAAATCTTCTCCGTCATGTTTCTGCGTGCTATGCGTACCTAGTGGAGTACTTAGCTTACGTTTGCCGACTAGGTGTTCTTTTATACGTACGTAGAGTGGTCTGCCCGTTTCGCCAACGTATTCGTCCCGCACGCTTTGCAAGAGATCAGATAGACTGTACCCGAACTTATGCAGTCTCACGCAGTCTTTATAAAACATAAACTAACAAATTCCACAAAGATCTAATCAATACCTAAATGAAAAATACTACGCTTTTTCGCAGGAGCTCCATAACTTTCTCGACTTTTCAAAGTTTTTGATGAATTCGACACATTACACTAACCCTCTCCGATTTAACAAAAGGTAAAAAGTGAAGCTTTCTTCTTAATTTTCATCCAGAAACACAGGCCATCGAGGTCAACAGCGTGAAAAGAATGTAATTCGACGAAGCATTAGTAGGTGAAAAAGGATAAAACTTTCGGCGTTAACCAATCCCTGAAGGATGCATTCGACTTCATCAAGTATCGTTGGAGGTGAATGAATGCATATCTGGCTTTTACAATGACTTGTGGTGGCCTACCGATGTATTGAGCCAGTGCTGCTATCCTCCCAGAGAATTCTGATACCAATTTGCCAACCCCGAAGGGATGGAAGGATTGGTGGCCCATAGACGCGGCGATCAGTTCCACGTTTGTGTTGCAGTGACGTCTCCAACCACTGTGCCACACACGCCCTACTAGTAGGTAAAAGCACTAAACTAGCAAAACCAAAACTACTTCAAAGACAGCATCGCAATTTTTTAGACTCCAGAAATGTAGATTCCATTTGATCAATATGACAACCATTTCCAACTCTCTCCGTCTTTTTATGTTCAAGATTATTCGATGAAAATATCACGTAACTAGGTAATCTTCAACTATGAGATTCTTCTACATTTTCTACTATTTGACGCGTCCATTCATGGAAAATCTGGAATCCCGGTACTCTGAACAACTTGTATCCCTTCATGCATTTTTCTTTTCAGTACATACAATGGTTTACTATACAGTTCCTCTGGAGTCGAGGATGATCGACTTTATCGTTCAACATACGGTTATGATGATACGAGCCGAACAGATGTGATAGATGTCCATCACAAAAACGCTAACTCGGCAGACAACAGTATCGTTCGCCGACCGCTGTACTGTTTACAACGAATAGCACTGTTGCAACGAAGAACAAATACAAAATAAGGCGCTGAAACTAGTGGGTAAAATCTTGGAGTTCCTGAATAAAAATGGGATAAACATTACTAGTGCGGTCTCGGAATGAGCATCACTTGTATCACCCACATACATTTAACACAGTTAGATATCGAGTAACTTCAGTTGGTACCAATAAGGTCCATTCATCTCCGTAGTGGATCACAGCTGCTCGGTGAGAGTACTTTATTCCAAAAACACGAAAAGCATCATACTTTTGATTCGATATATGCTTTTACTGTTATTGGCTATAAAGTGGCAACGGCTCCCTATCCTATTGCATCAGAACCTGTTATGGGATGGAAATGCTGAAGTATCTCTCTCAGCTACCGTAATATAGCAGGTAAAGGAACCTGTGCTCAACATCGCAGCTCGACACGAATCACAAGCCAGTCGTGATAGAGCCGTAGAGCACTGGTGGGATAATCATGAATACTACTTAAAGTGCAACAGAGTAGTAACATACCACGTCATCGAAAACTCTGTGAACCAAGATGAATTATTTCTAACCTCACAAATATTGATTTCCATGCCCGAATTTTACTAAGGAATTACTCCTGTCTTCGTCAACATCTGCGATACCTACCCAGTAACTAAGTAGAACCCTAAACGTAATAGGATAAAAACAGCTCTTACAAAGAGAACCATCAAAGGAAGAGCAGTTTTTTGTTCTTTGAACAAATATGGAGAGAAATCTCTACCTCACTGTTCGTTCGCGATGAAGTAAATCGCCTTCGTGAATGGTCGGATGGTTTACAGCGGCTTTCTGTATCACTACTATCACTTTGTTCTTGATCACCATCATTACGTTCGTCATCGGAGAGCGATATCTGTAAGGAACCAACGTAAGTTTTTATTCCTTACTGAGTATTTTCAGGAAAAAGTATGACAGAAAAAGAAAACCGGAATTCAAGAACTACTTGGATTGGAACTCAGTATAAACTTTTTTGGACGTTTGTATAAGCTCTAACTCATAACTTTTTAAAAGTTCTTCGTTGAACCGTTATGAAAATTTCTTCACATTAAGCACATAAATTTGAAAGGAGTTCCACAGTGAAAAACGGTGCTCTACAGCAGTGCATGCCAGATGACATCCATTAATTCGAAACCCAAATGCTCCCTCATTTCTACCTAAGCCATTACATCAATCATTTCACTTTGTCATTTTGCCTACTATATTTGTCCCTGAGCTGAGGAGACATAATAACGAACTGTTCGTTAAGACGTTGGTGTGAGCTGTGTTCAGGAAGTGAAATTCAAACTTATTTCTTTTAGATTTACCATGACAACACCGTTTATTGGCTCCTTATCACCTTTTCTAATACTTGAACAATTAACGGCGAGATTTACGACTAGTGGTGACACCTGGGACATTATTTATCACTCACAAATTTCATTCACTTGTTGTCAGGTCACGTACACTGATTGATGGCCTCCATCATAACATGGACTGTACTAGAAAGCAAATGCAATGTCACAACTGATTAGTTCGTAAACACCCTCAAGTCATTTCAACTATATGAATAGAACAACACTCAATAAGTGAATTACAGAATTATGACGACGGATGCCAAATGTAAGGTTCTCAAATAGTTTCCGATATTCTTGTTGAGCAAACACGAGGTGTTACTTCATTGTTTATTTCGTTAAAACTGACGTTCCGGCGGATTCCGCCTTCTTCAGAGCCGTTTATTAAAGGTTCTTAGTTCTAGTGCTTAAACAGTTAACGAAAGAAAGGTTCTTCCCCAGTGGAAGGCACGTAATACGGCTCTGAAAGAGGCAAAATCCGCCGGAATGTCCGCTTTAACGAAATAAACAATAAAGTAACACCTCGTGTTTACTCAACAAAAATATCGAGAACTATTTTTACAACCGCCATGTAACGACGTGACCCTCTATCAGAAGTGCAAAAGTAATGCCGAAATGCCCGCCACCGACTTTGAATCAACGTATCTCAGCTCATAATGAATTTTATCACTTGCAGTAAAAAGTCCTGGAATATACAGATTTTTTCCTACACAACATATGCTTTCCTAATCTTTTTTCAAAACCTGTAAAAATTATTTTTCCCACCATTTTGGTTAAGGAGCCGTATGATGAATACAAGGGAAGCGTGTGGCGCAGTGGTTGGAGGCGCCGCTGCGACACACAAGTGGAATCGATCCCCGCGCCCATGGTCCACCAAGCCTTCCATCCCTACAGAGTCGTCAAATTGGTACTAGATTTGTCTGGGAGCATAGCAAAACTGGCTCGATACATCGGTAGGCTACCGCGAGTCATTACAAAGGCCAGATATCCATTCAGTCACCTCCAAACGATGCTTAGTGAAGTCGAATGCATGGCGCATCTCTCAGGGATTGATCAACATCTAGAGCTTTATCCTTCATCCTTTTATGTTAAACATAACAGCAAGTGAATAAGAGCTCTTTTGTCCATTAGTACAATAAAATGTTCCCCAGTGGACCGTCTACGTTTGTAGGTACTGCTACTGCTCCGAAAAGATTAGAACCTTAAATTTTCCAAATTTTGACAGTTTTAGTTCCAAACATATTTAAATTTGAAAGAACACTTTACAAAAACTAAATATGTGACAAGATCGATAGCGCAAAGCCTCCTCTATAGATCTAGAAAGTTTTTAACTCCTGAAATACTCTAGTGGTCAGGAAACGTATCGTCAATTATTAAAAAATCAGATTCGTCGCAATATAGTCACATTCGCAACGAGCAACCGGTCCCGGAGTCGGGATGATTGTGATGATTGATGATGTCTAAGACCATAACAAGAACTGATAGAGCGTAGGGTGTACAGCGTAGAATGTTTGGTATTAATCAATCCCTAAAGGATGAGCCATGGATTCGACTTCATGAAGCATCGATGGAGGTGATTAAATGCACAGCTATTAAATCAGTGCCGTTGTCTTCCCATACAAGCATGGTATAGACTGCCGACAACGGAGCGACCAAAGACTTAGTGAGTTAAGCGCGCAAAATCGAACCAGCGACCACGCCTACATCGTAGGGCATGTTTAACCGCTGCACCACACTCGCATTCATTTGTATATAGATTTCTTACAATAACAATCAGTGAGACCTTCCCGTTATTAACCCACCATCTATAATACTAAAAACCAACGAGTAACCTCGACGCCATTAAGATCTCAATTCGTTCCTATCCCTTACCATAACTGCTCAATGGGCTCTGGCTAACCAAATGACACGAACAACACCACACTTTTGTTGCTTAGCCTTTCATTTCAAATATTCTTGACAAACGCCACAGGTAGACCACGCGACCACGCCATGATGGAGGTCTAAGTTGAGTGGAAACAAACTGTTTCACAGCATGGGTGACCTTGGAAGAATTCACCCGAACTCTGTTGTACAATGCGATTAGACACTCAGAAACACCCTCACCACAATACGACGATAAACAGTTGAACTTGTAAGCATAAGTGAAATTCGAAGATACTTCCTAATCGTCGCTATAATAGAGGGAATTTGTTCCACAAACTTACTAATTCATGAACAGTCTAAACAAATTTGGTATAAATGGCTCATTTAAAATGAGCAAATTTCATTCCGAAACTGCCACTACCACAACCTTGTTTTGCTAGTCAAAATAAGTAATCAGCGAAATACAACCACAATGTTGCTGAGATATTTGCAAAACTCTGGACCGCAGGTGTCTATGGTGGGGAACGAACGCGCTATTGTCCTTTCCGGGGAGTAACGCGTTCACCACCACACCATGCGAGTCCTGTTTCGCTTGTCTCTCTGATTTCAACTACAGCCATAGCTTAACTGGGTTCTATGCCGATTTGCGCTCCCCAGATCAATCCCGCTGACGGGTGATTCCTGTGGCAAAAAGATCGATAGAAATAGCTGAGAGACAGGCGAAACAAAGGACCCGCATGGTGTGGTGGTGAACGCGTTACTCCCCGGAAAGGACAATAGCGCGTTCGTTCCCACCATAGACACCTGCGGTCCAGAGTTTTGCAAATATCTCAGCAACGTTGTGGTTATATAAGTAATGTTTAATTTAGAAAGAGTAGCGTCCTGCACACACTGCAACTTCCAGTCAACGTAAAGTACGGAAACATGTGCCTCAAAGGTGACAACGACATCGACTTTTGTCATTTGTCCTTCCACTGATTGAGTGATCCATGCAGACACGTGAGAAGTCTTCATTTGTCGCTTCTGTGAGCCACAGCAGATTGTGCAAGAATGAGGAACGCGAAAACATAACATTTTCGGCTTACAATCTAGTGGCTGTTGTTGAGATGGATCACGTGTCCAGCACACCTGATTTTGTTATTTCCTCTCCTTCCTGCCTGAGCAATATGAGATACTTTTTTCATTATTCCTTCGAAGACAAGATTGAAACATTCGACCGATTATTCGTCATATCTACGCAGTCTTTTTAGAGGCGCATTTAGCGCAGTGGTTAGAGGCGCCCTGCAATACACGGGATCGATTTCGCGCCACAAACTCATCAGGCCCTCCATCCCTCCAAGGTCGGCAAATTCGTACCAGACCTGGCTTCGAGTTTTACTCATATCGCAGCATCTTTGTGGTTATATTTCATTATGTTTTAGATAAACAAAGCATTCGGACATCTTCGCTCCATTGAGCTTGGATTGAGCTTCAGAAACGAATCCGTTTCTCAATAGTATGTTTATGATTAAACTGAAGCAATTTCATTTTCAGAATTACTGTCGATGTGGGTCAATTATGGGTCAATATTTCTATTGCCTACTTTGACTATTCGATCTGGATGTCAGAGGGCGGCAATTACAGTTTCGTAGTTAGTGAAAGGCAGGGGAGATGTTGAAAACAAACTTCACAACCTCTAAACCTTTAGCAACGAATGCAGCGTTTCTATTATCCCTAATAAGGCTTTCTTAACTCCAAAATTCCTGCTGCGCAAGATCGATCCGTCATAACAGAACAATGTGTAAGGGCAAACAGAATCGTCAGTGAAGAATGTTAAACAAGGGTGAAAGAAAACCCACCAGTAAAAATTAAAGGAGGAGGAAACATGTAGCGCAAAAGTTACTTACTCCACTGGCGTATAAAAGACGACGATCGGCAGACGCCAGAGTGTCGAGCCTAGCCGAATCCAAGAGCATCCACACAAATCTTAATGAGGAAAGAAGAACGACTGCAAATTCGAACTCTTATAAATGACTTTTCAGAACAGTGCGCTCTTGTGATAGTTTAGAAGCGTTCATTTCAACATTGACGCAGCAGGTTCTCGACAACAAGATGGCAAAGATACCCAGGTGCAACATCATGCTATATTTACTCTGAAACTTAACACCAACAACAAAGAATCACATGTAATAAATTGCCGCAAAATAAATTATTTCTAAAGTCCATTTTAAAAAAGCAGCAAAGAAATTCTTCCCAGGGAATGTTTTCCTTAAAAAGTATGTAATAAAAAGAAAAAATGAAGTCTATCGACTTGAAGAAACATATACCTTTGCCCTAGAAATTTGGTGCATATTCGATAGGCACAGTACGAGCCGACACCTGCCACCAATAGGACACCGCTAGCTCTTGCTGAAATTAGCTTACGATAATATGGAATGAAAAAAAGAAGCAAAAGTGAAAACAGGATATATATATATATATGTAGTTTCTATGTATGGGGAAATGTTGAAATTCAAGCAGGAGACGCAGGTCTTCCCCTCTCAAGTTGGAAATTTACAGTCAAAGCTCATAGAAATTGAACTTCAGTCACTTTAAGACTCATTTTACCAACCGTTTCAGATGGAAATCTGTTACTGACAAGGAACATGGGAACACTTTTAAAAGTGTTTCAGCATTTTAAAATAATGGTACTGGTTGCTGTAGTCACGAGATGATAACGGCAAATCAACAAACCACCACTGATGAATACGTAGTATTTCTTTATTCATATAGTTTTGTTTACTAACACTTATTGCCCTTGATGACTTTCAAGACACAGGAAACATTTAGGGAACTATAGATTACTTTTCTGGAAGTTTTCACGAACGTTTTCTCCACGTCTACCCGTTCCAAGCGCCCAAGGCGTTCATCGTATTACTTTCGCCGAGTTTACTAACGAAGCTGTATGCGTAATCCGAGACCTCGACTATAAACTTCTGCCTGACACTAAACGTCGACTCACTGCAGATGTTTGTTCGATAATGCCTTGGTAGTTTTTGAACAAACAAGCACAAAAACAACTATATTTGAGCGGTAACTTTGTATAAGGACCATCAAAATTTAGCCCAATCAGGACACGGTAGTGGTTGAAAACCCAAATATACTTTTGATTCCAGACAAAAACTGATGACTGGAATCGAAAACTAAAGAAATATGAATTTATAGGAAGTTTTGCCTTAAATAAGTCATGCAATGAAAGTTTTTTGAGAAGTTTACAATAACGCTATGAACAACAAAACATTACAAAGGACGCACAACTTTCCTACAAACTGTAAAGAACGAAAGAATAAGATAAATTCAAGGTAAAAATCACAACAGGCATTTTTAATCAGTTATATTTTACTTTCTTTAGTTTTTTCATTTTAACCCTTTTCTCATGCCCAATCGGGCCTTGTATTTCAAAACTGATGAAACGACAAAGCGTGAAACCATTCGATGTTAATTAACAAATTAAGGAATGCATGTGGCCCAAAGGTTAACAGATGCCCTCTAGCATACACGTCGTTGGCTCGATCCCATGTTCTGTGCGAACGAAGCTTTCCATCTTTTCAATGTCAGCAAATTGATAGCAGATTGTATGAAAAATAAGGATACTGACTTTCAACATGAGTTTGGTCCTACCAACTAGCTCAGTAGAGCTCAAATATGTACTCAACATCAACTCTATGATGGTACTAATGGAGTCGAATGTAATAGTGCGTATCGTTAAAAGAGTTTGACCAACCACGAACGCTTACCCTCTATTACAAGAAAAAGGTTAGCCTCTCTGCGTTGATCAATAACTGAAGGATGCTCCATGCATTCGACGTCTTCGTTGCAGGTGATTGAATACATACCTGGCCTTTACAATGAGTCGCGGTGGCCTACCGATGTATAGAATCAAAGCTTCTATTTTCCCAGACAAGTCTGGTACCAATTTGTCGACCCCGGAGGAATGGAATGCTTGGTGGTCCTTGGATGCCGGGATCGATCCCATGCGTATTGCAGGGCGCCTACTACCACTACGCTACATACGCCCCTCTATTATATGATGGCGATTATAAACTGAAGCTCTCAATCCAAAGTCATTTCATGTCCTCTCGTCTGATAAACATTTCCTTCTGCTTATTATTATTTTTGCCTTAAAATTACGCAGCAATCGATTTCTAAAGTAATCCTTCTTCCTGACGACTGTGTAATCACCACTAGTAAACCCCAATCTCTTTGGCACGGACACTAAGCCACTAACTATTCATTGCATTCAAATAAACTTCCGAATTCAACGGGAGTTCTCAGCATTCGGCAAACAATTTTCCTCTCTATTCGAAAACAACCAATCAATAAATCATCGAAGGCATGCCACTCGCCTGAAATTCTGATCCGTATATTAATGGAAATTCCCTTCATAGGAATCAATCGATCAGTATCGACATCATGAGCACGTTGAAAAGACGTCAGCTGTGAGTACATTACAACGACTAATTTTTATGAAGCTTAGGAAGACCGGGACTATGGCAACAGTAGTCGTTCTTTGTAGTTCTCAGATAATAACAAAGATAAGGAAATAAGAGCAAGACGGAATTAAGAATCAAATAATATTTGGAGAGATATTCAGAAAAAATGGAGTCTGAAAACTCTGAAAACGAATATGGTACGAAGACCAGGCTGGTAACATGAAAGAGCCGTCGATAAATACTGCATTTCAATGAAAGTTGTAGGAAAAAGGGTTCATTCAGAGATAAAACGGATTTCTCAAGGCCGTCTCATTGTACTCCACCATTACTACGATATTCTTTGAAAGTTCTGCAGGTACAAAAAACATTCATTCATCAATGCGAGAACGAAGGGGCTTCACGAACTTTCGGAACCTCTCTGTTAACGCAAAGCCCCAAATCAAAGGCTTCAGCTCCTTCACGCTCCGAAGGTGCTTAAAGTTCAACTGATCGTACAGGTTTGTTTATCAAATTTCTTATGCACTTCATCGTGAGAGGATGGAACTGCATTACATGGACAGAAATCCGACAAAAAGGATTATCAAGATCGGCAGCGGTTATTCGTTCCCTACCAGTAATGCCTTCGTCAACGCTAAACTCGCGCAGCTGACGCATTGATGGAGTGAAGCTGTTCGAAAGGGCAAGTATCCAGTTTCAATAACAACGAAAAGCCGACGGAGTCGCTGTTTGAGGTAAACGAGCTTGATTTTTAAAATCAACCATCACTTAACCTCGACGTAAAAAATGATCCTTTTTTGGATTAGATCATTAGATTTTTTTAAAAAATAATGATTTGCTGCGTGCTAGCTGATATGATACCAACTACCGCAAGGTTGATCGGCTCCATGAATGCTTATTACTAACAGTGGACAACCAACAACAACTGTCCTCAATAAAAGGGACAATGTGGAGTGAGGCTCTCATTCCAACTGCGCTCCAATCCAGAAGATTTGACTCGACACGACTACGAAGAGCCACATCGCGTGGGCGAACAGCTATGGACAATCGACTCAGATCTATTGGATCTGAAGAAAATGAAAACGTGAAGATGTTGGCCGAATAAAACTTCTACAACAACCTCATGTAAGCTGAACAAGTTGAAAAATCAACATACTTATTATCAAAAATGGAACATATGGGAAATGCAGCCTTTCACCACAGATGTTACTTCGCTTCGTAAATGTTCATTAAAAAAAATTTAGAAGCCGATTCTTATTTAACCCCGACATGAACAATCAATGTATACCCTTTCACTGATTAGCTAACATAGGATTGACTTTGAAAAAAAAAGACTTTATTCCGCTGACGTTTCTGCACTTCCGCTTTCTTCAGCGCCAAATTAATCCGAGTGGGCTGTCCACGAAAGGCAACGAATCGTCAGCAGAATAAAGTTCTTTTGTAACAATGAACGTCTTGTTAGCTTATCGTTGAAGGAGTGTCCATTAAAAATGCTAAGATAAGAAGCATATACGTGCATCTAAACAAATTCTGCTCTTAATTCACCAAAGAATCGAAGGCGTCACGTCAAATTCAAAGAACACTGAAAGGTTATCGAAGCAGCAATAGGGTTCAAAAGCAAAGAGATAATATCGTAATTGGTTATGAAACCCTTCCGTACTTCCAGCTTCCTACAACAGTTCCACATCGTTTAATTCTGAGTAGCATTAGCTCTAATGACAGAAATACCTAATAATTTAAATTTAAACTTGACAGAAATGCAGACTGAGCAAATTTGTGCACTGAGGCTCTCCTCCTTGTAATCTAAAAAAGGCTTCAAATTAGCCATAATCGAGATATTTCGATCAAAGAAAGCGTCCTGAAAAGATACGGTCTTGAGGTATATAGGAAATCTGTTTACACAGAAACTGAAGGGTTTGAAGTCGCCGGCAAATATTAGCCATCACACATCGGAAACGAGTGTGTTAACACCCTTGTTTCAGCTGAATAAAATAAGAACCCACTCTATGCGATCTCTACGCTCATAGTGTCGTCAGTCAAGTGGAAATAGGAATTCATAATTACCAATAATAACGTAAAAATGACTAGTTATGAGAAAAAATAACTGATAATGTGTAGTAAAGAGTTATTCAAAGTGTAGTTACTGATTATAGCGCCTCACCAAAATCAATACAAGGTCATACAGTGAGCGAACCATACATTGCCGGATTTAACAACGGCTGTACAAACAACAATGGAGGATTGTCAGTTCCAGGTGCTCTAACAGAAATAAAGTTCGATGGATTCAACCATTAATTCCAAAAATACTCAGCGTAGAAATCCTTCGACTCCTTGGAAATGGCGCAATCACCATGGGTGCGGAAGCGGTTAAGGCCCGAGTTCATGAGCATCCATCTGTCCTCATCACTATGATCAATTTCCGAAAAAGAAACTCAAGCAGGGAAAAAATAAGGCGGTTGGACACGAATTCCAATTCAGTTAGTGTCGATGAAATGGCAGACTACTGT